TAACCACTGAGCCATCTCCCCAGACCCAGTTGGGTTTTTCTGTTTGGTTGGCTTTGTTTATCTCTTCCTTTTCTATCTGTGGCTCATCTCTCACATCCAGGTGGCCTGTGTGTGCTGAGAAGCAGGGACCCTGACCAGGGGAACCTGGATTCCCAAGGGTGCTCATGGATGGGCCTCACTGGCCTCCAGAGAGCATGCTGGTCTGGGAGCCCCACCACTGTGGAGCAAACACTCTGCAGCCCCATCTTCCTCTGCTGAAACCAGGGAGTTCCTAAGAGCAGAAAGCAGCATTCTCTGCCAACTCACTTCTCATCCGATGCCGAGTCAGTCCCTGCAACCCCTTAATGGCTCCAAAGAGGAGCGGCATTATCTCCACCAGACAGATGGGGAAACTGAGGCTCACAGAGAGCAAGGCAGGACTTTCAGCCACATGATGGATGGAGCCAAGGAGGGCTCTCCTTGCTGACTCCAGCTGCAGAAATGCCAGGAAAAAGGAGCTCAGGGCTAAAGTTCTTGTTCTGAAAGCAGGAGGACCCGAGTTCAGATCCCCAACACGCATCTGTAATCCCAGTGTTGGGGAACCAAGGCAGGTGGATTCCAGGGCTTGCTGGCCAGCCAGTTTAGTTAAAAAGGTGAGCTCCAGGTTCAGAGACCTCATCTCAGAAATAAGGTGAAGAGCTGGAGAGGTGGCTCAGTGGTTAGCGGCACTGGCTGCTCTTTTAGAGGACCTCAGTTTGATTTCCAGCACCCACATGGTGGCTCACAATTGTCTGTAACTCCAGTCCCGGGGGACCCAAGGCCCTCTCCTGGCCTCCATGGTCACTGCATGTACACGGAACACAGATATACATGGAGAAGAAGAAAGAAATGCCGAGAAAGAGAAACAACTTAACCCCGGTCCCTAAACGCAAGAACGGAAAGGAGAGTGGTGGAAATCCCCAGAAGGACTTCAAAGGAAGATCAAAGATCAGAGGAGTAAACAGGGGTAACTGAAGAACTCTGGGGGTGCCAGGGCAGACACAGGGTCAGCTGTGACTCAGGTGGAGCAAGAGATGGAATGGGAGAGACAGCCTGCGTCTGAGCCGGAGATTTGAATTGAGAGCATAAAACATTGGTACAAAAACTCATCCAGAATTAGTGGATCACCTGCAGCATGGAAAGGGTTAAATACAATACCACATCACGGAAATGCTTCCATGGGTAAAACAAAGAAATTCCCATAGAAACATGGACCAGCAGTTAGGAAGTTTACACTGCATGTTCAGAGGACCAGAGCTGGGTTCCCAGCATCCATGTGGGGTGGTTTACAACTGCCTTTAACTTCAGCTCCAGGGGATGTGGTACACTTTTCAGGTCTCTGCAGGCACACACACACACACACACACACACACACACACACACACACACACACACACATCTTCCCACTGAAGGGAGTTCAAAAGCAAGCTGAGGGGTCTTGCTTTGAGTGCCTGGCTGCCATCTCCTCAACACTTGGGATGAGTCTATGACCTCGAACCCCGACCACACTCTCATCCAGCCCCGCCTACCCGCTCCTTCCACCTGAGTCCCGCTGTCCTACCTGGCACAAAAGAGTTGGTAAGGCAGGTGCCGATGGCCAGTACTAAGAATGGTGAGATCATGATGTACCCCGAGACCCGTTCCTCTCTGGAGCCCAGACGGGTAGGTGGGGAGAGGTGGCCTGGTGGTGTCAGCCGTTAATTGACGTTCCGATTCTAGAAGTCAGAAAAGAAGAAAAAAGGTAAGTGGGTGCAACCGTGGAGCCGTTTCTTCATCCCGGCCTTTGTTCCTTGATTCATTCAGGAAGAACTCGTTGAACACCAAAAGCCCGGCACTGGGCTACCACTCTGGGAACAGAATCACAAGGATAGTTGGGCAAGCATAAATGCATCTGTATTGCAAATAAAATACCATCCCACTTCCTGGCTGCTAGCCTGTCCCAAGGGCAGGCTTTTCACGCCATACTTTTGATAGAGGCCAGTGTTGGGGTTGCCAGTCACGGCAGCCTTAGGCCCAGCCCAGAGTTTGTTATTCTGGAAGTTCTCAGGCTCATGGACCACACCTCAAGAAGTAAAGCCTACACCTGAGTCCATGGCCTTTGTGTGTCTCACGCAGCAGGGGTAGAACAGTTTCTTCCCAAGGGTATTTGTCCCCAGGACACCAATATTTGCCCCATTCTCTTCAAGGAAGTATCAGAGGTATAAAAGCAGAAGTGTCTATGTAGCTCAGACTGACTGAGGATGACCTTGAACTCCTTCCTGATCCTCCTGCCTATGCCCATCAAGTGCTGGGCTTACATGGGTTTGCCTCAGCAGCTGACTTTGATTTTTATTTTATTTTATGATCTTCTCTGCATCTCCCCCAATTATTTCCTTTTTCCTTTTTTGGGTCAATGCTGGGGATCAAACCCAGGGCCTCGTGCAAGCTGGACAATTGTTTGCCGCTGAGTTAGAATTCAGGCTCTTTGGTCTGAGCTTGCCTTTCCCTAGTGACTAATATCCTAAGCAGCTTCCCACAGGCTTCTTGGCCCCGGGCACAACTTCTGCACTGGGTATCTGTTGAGATAGTCTGCCTTGGAGCTGGGGAGCTGGCTCAGCAGTAAAAGACAAACAAGGCCGGGGGCATGAGTTTGATGTCCGGAAGCTACAGTGGAAGAGGAGAACCAACTTTGAAAGGTCCCCTGGGACTTCGGAGGTGGCTCGGAAGGTAAAGACACTGGCCTCAAGCCTGACTCCGTGGTGCAGTCCCTGAATGGAACCTACAGGGTGGGAGGAGGGAACAGACTCTGATTCCCACATTGTCCTCTGACCTCCCACATGCACCATGGCACTCCTGAATTCACACACACAACAAGAATACATTTGAAGAATACATCTGCTCCCCACCTCCACCCCACCCCCCACCCCTGTGCTGGGGATCAAACTCTGGGTTTCAGGCTTCCCACAGTTGAGCAATACCCTCAGCTCACCTAAAACTTTTTAAAAAATTTTTTTCTTTCCCTTTTCCTTCTTTCCTTCTTTCCTTCTTTCCTTCTTTCCTTCCTTCCTTCCTTCCTTCCTTCCTTCCTTCCTTCCTTCCTTCCTTCCTTCCTTGTTGTTGTTTTGTTTTTGTTTTTCAGCAGGGTTTCTTTGTGTAACGGTCTTGGCTATCCTGGAACTTGCTTGGTAGACTAGGCTGGCCTTGAACTCACAGAGATCAGCCTGCCTCTGCCTGGGATTAAAGGTGGGAGCGCTATCACTTTTTAAAGGACTAGAAGAAAGACAGCAAACATTAACTGATAGTTTGCTCTGGTGGCAAGACTAGGAATTATTTCCTCTTAATTTTTTTTCCCAAGCTGCCTAAAATGAGTATGTATAAATGGCTTAAGCATGTTTTTAACCGAGGTCATGTTGTTGCAATCACAGGCAGCTAGCTACAGAATGTCTAACCGTCTGGCTAAGGATGCTACAGTGTGATTTTTAACTATCAAGTGCTTTGTTGGGAAATAATGTTACCATATCAGCCCAAGCTCGGATGTGATTATCTCTTCTGTGGTGGGAAACAGAAATGACCAAAATTCTATGGTGAGAAAGGTGTTGGGACAGATAAGCCACCAATCTACCAGAAGGTGAGGCTCTGGTGTAGGAAGGCGGGTAGAGGAAGGTAGAAATCTGGAGGAAACACCCTCTCTATCTAGTGCCCAACTGCACTTATCTCTGAGGTCAACTCAGGTGATTGCTAAATTTAAAAATAATTGTTTTAACTCATTTTAAATGCCAAATAAGGGGCTGGAGAGATGGCTCAGAGGCTAAGAGCTCTTCCAGAGGTCCTAAGTTCAATTCCCAGCAACCGCATGGTGGCTCACAACCATCTATAATAGGATCTGGTGCCCTCTTCTGATATGCAGACAGAACACTATATACATAATAAATAAATAAACATAAAAAAAATAGTGCCAAATAATTTCATAGCAAGTCCTAAAATTAGAAAATCCATTAAGTGGTCATAAAAATATTACTGTGTTATAATATTATTCACAGCTGTTTAAATCTGAAGTCATCCCTTTCAGGACGAAGTCCAACACATTCCCCCCAACTTTACAAAGCCTCAACTGTTAGCATGCATTTCTCTGTTTTCAAAATAATTCTTTCCTGGTCCATTCCAGCCACTACACTGGCAGCCTCCAGTGGTTCTCAACCCTCCTAATACTGCGGCCCTTTAAAACAGCTCTTTATGTTGTGGTGACCCCCAACCCCATAACATTATTTCATTGCTACTTCATAACTGTAATCCTGCTACTGTTATGAATCATAATGTAAATATCTGATATACTATCTATTGTAAGCCACAAAAATATATGAAGTAAGATTTCAGCTAATTATGACAAGCTAATATCTAGAAGAAGCCAAGGGCCTTCCAGGTCAAGCTGAGACTCAAGGAGTCTTGGTGATATTGGCTTTTGATTATTAGCCATTTCCTACTATGAATTTCTAATGTGCTATTGTAGCTTTTCCATCATTCATTGGGTACCATTTCCCCTCTAAGGGATATTCAGATAACCTTCTGTGCAGTAACGCAGCCAGGATCCCTAATTTCAGGCCTTTCTGTCATTATCGTCGTTAGCAGCATCCGGCCAGGACCATCCCCGGACAAAGTATCTCTAAGAACAGACTTAAGCACCCAGACTACCTGTTTGAGAAGGTCTGGCAGATGTGCTAATTAAGCTTAACTTTCTCCTTTCCAAAGTCTTATCTCTAGTTTTAGATCTCCCTTTAACTATTAACTCACAACTAAAGGGTCTTTACTTACAGGTCCATCAAGCTGACTCAGGCTGCCCAGCCACCGAGTACACTCCCCGGCCCTGCCAGAAAGCAGTAGCCAAGATAGCTTGGACAGATACGGGGCCAAGGAAAACAAGGCAGTTTTATTTTCACTCGTCACTGATAGACTCCTAACACTTTACCTAACCACTTCTAAGAGTCTAGTTGAGCACATAAAATCCCCTTACTCAGCTATTAACGGAATTTAGCCCTCAGTTGATTCTATTCCCCATTAGTCACTTCCCTTTTGGGTTGCAGATGATGGCTGGCAATTACTGCTCTTTTATGTGGATCTTATTGCCCCTCCTTTTGACCCTGGGGGAGTTCAAGCCTGGTGACCTTGCTTTAATCAGGGCATTGCTATTGCATGGGTATATAACTGTAAGCCTCAGAGACTTGGGAGGACCGGACAGAGAAGAGAAAAGGGAATGGAAGAACCAGATGGGTAAGAACTGGAGGGGAATGAACTGAGATGGGAAGAACTAGATTGAAGGGCTAGAAGAGAGAACTAGAGGGACAAGGTGGGAGATGAGGAAGAGCCAGATAGGGAAGAACAAGATGAGGAAGAAGGAGATGGGACAGGAGCTGATAGGGGAAAGAACTAGATGGATGAGAACCTAGAAGGGGCAGAACTAAGATGAGAGAATTAAGATAGAACCTAGAGGGGACAGCAGATAAATGTAGAGAGAAGTCAGGCAAGAAAGGAGCAAGGCATGAGAGCAGAATTGAAGCTGTGTAGACAGAATTTTATCCCAGAGGAATAAAGTAGATGGACAAAGAGCTCGGTGTACTTAGATTCATTTCCCAAAAATAATTCACGCCATTTGTAGCTTCTCTTCTGGGCCCCTGGGAAGGAGATTATTAAGGCTGGTCCTTAAAAATTTTCAAGAATGATCCCAAAGGGGTTGCAATCCACAGGTTGAGAACTGCTGCCCTAAGGCTTTACCTCGATTATCTGTGCTCCTAGGAAGGACTGAGGTGGCCATTCACTGCCGGAAGAGTGTCAATGGATGCAATTTTGGGCACCTGGCATCACCCAACACAGCTGAGCACCATACAGCTGCCACGGGACCCTTTTATTTTATGCCAGCCTTGTTACGTGTGTCCAGCCCACCACACAGAGGAGTTGGAAACTCATGGTTGACAGTGCTGTCCACATGCCCCTATCCATGTGAGGCTGAGCCAGGAAAGCCAGAACCTAAGCACACACCAGCATCAACAGAAGAAGCACACAGACCGCAGCACCCCTTTGTTTCGGGTACTTATTCCTCTAGATAGGGTGGCATAAGACAGTACAAAGGTGTAGGTGTGGAGCCGGAAGGGGACCCATGGGAATTGCTGAGGTTCAGGTGCTGTCTGCTTACTGATGAGGTGCAGGTCTGCCCTTGGGCTTGGTTTGAAAAGCAAGCCATCTCTTACTCTATGGCATGGGGACTTCTCTGCAAGTGTGTTACGGTCTCTAAGGCTGAAGCGGCCCTTTGGGAACACAGTCAATGTGAGGTGACGGCCCGGTATGGGATTTCCAATGACTAACTTCTTTTTTTTTTTTTCCCTGAGACAGGGTTTCTCTGTGTAGCTTTGCGCCTTTCCTGGAACTCACTTGGTAGCCCAGGCTGGCCTCAAACTCACAGAGATCCGCCTGCCTCTGCCTCCCGAGTGCTGGGATTAAAGGCGTGCGCCACCACCGGCCTGGCAGCCCATGACTAACTTCTGCAGTGAGCAAAGAGGAAACTTTACTTGTCTCCCGTGACAGATGACTAGACCAAGACTTTGAGAGGAGACATGGTTAGCCTGTGCTTACAAACAAGCCGATGGAGAGCTGAACATTGACCATAGGGCTTCTGAATCCAGAAATAGCAGCAAGATTCCTACGGCAACCCCAACCCCTCCATTTCCTCAAGTGTAAAGCAAAGGCTGAGGTCTGACCCAAGAATAGACTCCTTCCACGCTGCCGTGACTAGGGTGGAGACCCGCCTTGTCACCCAAGCCTGTGCTGTCTCCTGTCATCAAGCAATCCCCATGGCTAAACCCAGCAATCCAGATTTGTCCTCTGTCACCACTTTCCAGCACTGTACGAGACAAATAGATTCAGCCAGTGAGGCGGCTCAGCAGATAAAGGCGCTTGCTGCCAAGCCTGATGACCTGAGTTCAAGTCCCGGAACCCACATGGTGGAAGGTGTAAGCTGACTCCTGCAAGTTGTCCTCGGTTTCACGCATGCACCGTGGCACATAAGCACACACGCTGTCTCACCCACACAACCCATATAAATAAGTTTACATTAATACAGGAGCTGGAGATACGGCTCTCTGGTTGAGAGCCCTGGCAACTCTTGGAAAGAGTTTTATTGATTCCTGGCACCCACAGGAAGGCTTACAACCACCTGTAACTCCAGTTCCGGGGACTCCGATGCCCTCTTCTGAACTCCGAGGGTACCAGACACACACGTGATACACAGGCATACATGCAGACGAAGCACTCATACACACAAAAATAAATTTTTAATATATATAAATAAAGCTATTGATCAGTGTGGGGAGAGTGCAGCATAGATTTTTTTTGTCATGAACACAGTACCTCTCTCCATCCCTCTGGTACTTTGATCAGCATATAGAATTTAAACAGGCTTTGTTACATTTATATCTACGCATTTCTCTCATGGGGGGAGTTACTGTATTGCATACGCCTTTGTCTCTTTGATGCTACTATAAAGAAATACCTTGTTATTTTACATTTTGACCTTATATGCTGAACTCACTTACATTCTAAGCTTTTGTGTGTACATGTGGGATTCCTTGGCATTTTCTATGTAGCAAGCATGTAATTTACCAAGAGCTTAAGGGCCAGCAAGATGGTTCTATTAGAAAGCCTGACAACCTAAGTTCGATCCCGGGGACCCACAGGATGGAAGGATAGAACTGATTCCTGAAAGCATCCTCTGACCTACACACACACACACACACACACACACACACACACACACACACACACACAAAGTAATGTAATAATTTTATAAGTAAAAAAAGTTTTGCTTTCTCCTTTCTAGTCACGTGACTTTTTCCACTCTGTCCCCTTGCTTTTTGTATTGGTCTAGTGTGAGGAAGAACAGAAAGGGTGAAAATAAACATTTCGTCCTTGTTTCCAATCTTCGGGTGAAAGAACTCATCTTTCAGCATTGATGTGGCATTTGGAAGTGTGGGGCGGAGTGGATTTTGTGGGGACAATTCAGGGACTTGAATTTGACAAGATGGGTTTGAGGTGTCATTGGGAAGAACAGACAGTTGGCGATAAGCCTGGCAGCTCTTGGCTAGAGGCACACATTTGGGGATCAAGGGCATCTAGTGCTGTCACAATCTTGATGAGACTCCATGTCTGAGAGAGGGACAGGGCATCGAAATAATGTGACAGGCCTCAGAAAGCCAGGCTGAAAAGAACTATGGTATCTTCTTCCTCCTCTCTCCTTCTTTTTCCTCTCTTCCTCCCTCCCTTGCTTCTAGATAGAACCCCAGGTCTCCCACATGCGAGGCAACTGCTCTGGCCCCTGAAATCCACTCTAAGTGGTCCCCCAAAAATGTTTTTAGCTTGGTAAAATGATGAAAGCCTTATGCCAAAACTTTAAAGAAACCATTATGGAGAACCATGGCAAATTCCCTGTTAACACTGGCATTGACCCAGTGAGCTCTTGTCCATAACAAGGAAAACGTGTCGGGAACATGACGCCACATCTACGGCTGTGATGTATCAGTAGTAGCAAAACTAGCTGTCAGACCTGCAGCCTGGACAGAGCTTGAGGAGGGACCACAAAGGACCAAACACTGTGGGTGGCACAGGAACACGGAGGAAGGGGTTAAGGAGCCACGGCGAAGCCGCAGCACTTGTGGCCTGAGAAACAGAACGCATTCCACTCCCTCCGCACCCAGTGTCTAAAGAACGGAGGGGGCCCGCTAAAAGGGCTCCAGCAGCCCGCGTGGTTAGTCTGAGGGTCCAGAGTCTCTTCCCTCCAGGGGGAAGCTCTGGAAACTGCAGACCCAAACAGTGAAAGTCTTTGCACACTGAGCCTGAGGCCCACAGTCAGCCTGGGACACAGAACTCTGGCCCCAGGGCCCTGCATTAAGATGACCGTGTGGCACTGAGCACCTGGAGACCTAGGAAATCCTTCAGCCCCCTGCCTCGGCTCACACTCCGCCCCTCCCTCACCCCAGGCATCTCAGGCTGAGGGACATTGCTGGGCCCGGTCTGGGGGAGTCCCGGCTGCCCGCCACCCACTGTTGGAGTGGACGCTGGTCCATAGTTCCCTCCTACTGCCTAGCCTGGTCTCTCTGCCAGGCTTCCAGCTACGTGATCGGATTCCTTAGGACAAGAGCGCAATGGCTCTGGCCGGGCTCTGGCTTTGGGTTGAGGAAGCAGCTACTTGGCAGGCCAGAAGGGAGGCTGAGCTGGCTGCGCCTGGGCCCTGACAATGGCATTCTGAGGCAGTGGCTCCAGAGTCTGGCAGAACGCCAGGCTCCAGCTGGTCTCAATAGAGCCAGGACAATCTGAAAGACAGGAGACGTCCATTACCAGGCGCTGTCATGTCCACCTGTGAGCTCGCACGGCCTCCTAGCCGCAGGTATTTCTGCCCTCACGTCACAGTTCACAAAACTGAGCCAAGGCCCATCCAACCAGCTGATAGCCACATGCACACCCAGGCTGACTCTGCCATCGCCTTCTCTGGGGCTTCTGGCCTCAGTTTCCCCACCAGGGAGAGGAGGGACTAGTGTCTATCTTTTTTTCATACGGACAGTCACTGGGGATAGAGCACTCGGCAGGGGCAGGAGTTAGGGTCCCCTACCTGAGTGGCCTGGCCAGGCGACAGGTGAAGAAGCACAGAAGGCCCAGGGCTAGCATGAACAGGAGGAGGCTGCCAACCGCCGTGACCACCGTGTCCAAGGTGGGTGACAGGAGGGCCATCTTGGAGTCAAGAGAGCCTTTAGATGTGGTGGTCACACAAACCCGCTGGCTCTGAAGCCTGGGGTCAGCGGCCGGTGACCTAGCCTTACCCCTGAGTTAATCTCCTGGGATTAGGCAGGAAGGATGAGATGGAACCCACAAAGTTCCCCTCCCCCACTCCACTCCTGGGAGAGGTTGTGGGGAGGGCTACCTGATGGCTGTTCATTCAACTCTGTCCATTCACCCCTCACTCCAGAACATTTGCTGAGCGCCTGCTGTATACCCAACTCTATTCTAGTTCTGGAAAGATGACTGAGCAGCCAGTGTAAACAAAGTACCTACTACGTGCCAGGCCCTTTATGAGATAAAAGCTAAGAAGGGGCAGGGGTCTGGCCCACAGGGTCGAGTGCTTGCCTAGCACGGAGAAAGTCCTGGGCTCCATCCACATCCCAGCATAAACGAGGCGTGATGCACTTGTCTGTCATTCCAGTAATTGGGAGGTGGTACAGAAGGGCCAGGAGTTCAAGGTTATTCTCAGCTACTGTGATGGCCAGTGTTAATGTCAAGACTTTAGAATCCTCTAGAAGACTGGCCTTTGAGTCTGCCCATGGCGGGTTATTATGACTAAACTGAATTTCAAAGATCTGGTGACACCATTCCCAGGCTCGAGTCCTGGCCTGGGTAAGATGGAAAAGAACCCAGCAGCAGCGTGTGGTCACCTATTTCCTGTCTGTGGGTTCGATGCCACCGGCTGCTTCGGGGTCCTCCCGCCGTGACTTCCACCCCACCACGAAGGACTGTGCCTTGAGCTGTGAGCTGAAACTAAACCCTTCCTCTCTGAAGTTGCTTTTGTTGTGACAGCAACAGCCGAAGAAGCTCAGACATCCTCAGAGTGAAGCGGCCTGGGCTACACAAGACCCTGTCTCCCTCCCGGGGCTGGAGAGGCGGCTCAGAGGTTAAGAGCACTGGCTGCTCTTCCAGAGGAATTCCCAGCGCCCACATGGCAGCTCACAACTGTCCATAACTCCAGTTCTAGGGCACCCGAAACCCATGGCAAAACACTAATGCGCACACACACACACACACACACACACACACACACACACACACACACACACACCCTGTCTCCAAAATTTGGAATAAAGCTCAGAAAGGAAGGAAACCCTGATGGAGACCTCACAGCCGCTGTTGCCCACATTTACCCCATTCACAGGCCAGAATAAAGTACTTACTGTGTGTCTAACTCCATCTGAGCCATTTCCAGAGGAGGAAACAGGTACAGTGGTAGGGATCGGATCTGAACCAAATCTGCCAGCCTCAGAACCGGAACAGCACCAGGCCTTCCAGGCCCCTAGCTGGCAGTTACCTGGGAATCCACATGGGCTGGAGGCGGAGCTAAAGTCCACTGAGGGATTGCCTGTCCCCCAGCTAGCCTCTCATGGCATCCTGTACTATCAGCATGGCAGCGATGGTCCCACCTCACAGACTGAGAAATGGAGGCTCCGAGTCTCTCAGTGCCCCCCCCCACGTGTGCGTGCACACACAAAATACACAAATAAAAACACGATGAAAATGTAAAAGTCACAAGAGCCCTCATCCTGCATCTGCCTGTCCTGTTGGCGGTTGTGAGCATTCAGTGAACAGGATTAAAGGGACATTGGGGAAGAAGGTTTTCTGGAGGGGATGCACCTGTAGTCCCAGCATTCAGGAGGCTAGTGACTCCATGTTCCCCAGCTAGCCACCTTCTGGGCCCCAGGAAGAACAGAATTGTAGCTGATCGATCCCTGTCAGCTGGGATTCAGAGTGCGCCCTGCTGCCGAGGCTGGGGAAGGGGACAGGGGCTTACAGAAGCCACTGGGCGAAGAGACCCTGCAGAAGGCTGGCTTTAGCTGCAGGGCCTCAGAGGGGACCTGGGACCAGTCTCTACCAAACCAGGTGTCTCTGATAATCCCTGCTGGCTGGGGCGTTATTCATTCACAGATGGAAGTTATTTAGGGCTGCTGTGACGGGCTCAGGAAGGGACATGCGCTGGAGAGAGCGGACAGCGGTCAGATCCAGGAGGAATTTCCCTAGATGGGGGTAAGCCAGATGCTGGGGGACAGAGCAAGCTCCAGGTCTCCAGCTGCTGACACACAGCAGGAAACAGACACATAGGAGGACAAGACCAAGGGAGGGCACTGAGTTCCTCAGAGGGAACACCCCAGCCTCAGCACAGCTGTATACTGCCCTTCCTGATCTGGAGAGTTCTCTGAAGTCCACCCAAGGACGCCTCTTGTCCCCTTTCCGTTTCCCCCTCAGCTCTGCCTGCCAGCTGCCCTCACCCCAGCCCCAGCCGGGCATCACCTCCTAACACAGCATGAGCTGCTCTGCCCTTGGGCAGTCTGTGGCTGGAGAGGTCGGTGCGCAGCCAGGAGGCAGGGAAGGCCTGCCAGGCCAGCCGGCAGGGGTGTTGGAAGAGGCGGCCTGGCGGCAGAGGCAACACTGGCCAGGCTGCAGGGGTGAACCTCGTCTCTGCCCCTTAAGCTGGACACGCGCTGAGGTGAGAAGTCTCATCCCTGCACTGGGCAACTCCCTTGTGGAGTAAGGTCTGAGAGTGACTCCTCCGGGCTGCCCTGAAGATTCTGACCATTTTACCATGGCCAAGGCTCCCCCTGGACTTGGGACAGGCAGGTGTGAGGGGTTGGGAGGCAGTAGCAGCTATGGAATGCAGGGCAGTAGGCAGAGAGCATGGGGGAGACAGAGGAGAGCTGGATGGACACATGTGCGTGCGAGTGCACACACACATACGCATGCGCGCGCGCGCGCGCGCACACACACACACACACACACACACACACACACACACACACACACGCACACACACACACACACACACACACGCACACAGCCTGCCCACATGCCTGCTCACCTGAGGCCGGAATGGTCTTCCTTGCTCTATAGCGCTCAAAGCAAAGCTCAGCATCTGGATCGAGGAGGCCACAGGTCCCTGTCCCCTGGCCTGTCACATACACACTGGGAAGAAACAACCTCCAGGCAGCGTGAGGCTCTCTGTCCCCTTAGAGGGGACAGGCTATTAAGGGTAGTCTTGGAGAGAAGGTTGCCAGGAAGCCTGGCAGCGTGGCTAGGTGAGAGGAACAGCCAGGAGGATCGGCGGCTAAGAGGCAGGATGTGCAGAATTTCAGTCGGGGACAGTGGCCAAGCAGACAGCAGGTGTCTGACGACAGAGCAGCCTGGAGTGGCCCCAATGGAGTCAAAGCAGGACCTGGCTTGTGACTTCACTCACCCCTGTCACCAGCCCTATTTCATAAGTGAGGGCGTGGCTGCTGGAG